GGTTGTTCTTTATTGTTTCGTTATACCGGGAGAGGGTCGACCTGTATAGAACTCTCGTCGTCAAATCCGGCTCGGCGAATGTTGTTAATTGTGCCTATAAATTGAATAAGGTGCGAGTTGCAGAACTGTTGTCTACCGATGGTCAGTACAATTTCTAGCTGCTTGAAGAAAACAGTTCGTGCCAATATTCATCGCTACTGTGTCGGCATTTAAACAACATGGACAGCACCAATGTTTCTGTTTGGAAGTTGTTTGGATGTCACTCATTGCTGCGTAGGTTGGTGTTACGTATACTATTCCTTAAGCGGCTCTGACATAATGGCACAGGGGAAGAAAAGAGAGTGGTTTGTCGCATGTAACAGTGCCGCGGCCAAGTCAATGTCGCATTCAGGCAACAACGGACCTTGCCATCAGATTGACGTATTAAATTTTTACCGTCAAATGTGGCAATGCTTCCTTTACTGCTAATTTATTTCTCTTCATGAAAAGCCCTCGGATAAGAGTAATTGATTTGGTTATCAGCACCGCATTCATTAGGTAATAAAGGCGTTGGAGGGATACCATCATATTTTTGGTGTCTCGCCTTTAATCTTTGATAGCCTTCTACACTATTTGCCACCTGTGTATGTAACCAGGATGGGTGCGGAAAGACTTGGTTCCTACCCTGTTTGATACAACGAGAATAATAGTGGTTCAGTGGAATGGCTTATTGCAGCAATAACGGAAAAGTGTGCACGTGGCCGTTTCCAACGCTGCAAGTATCAAGAGTGACGAGCCTCAGAAACTTTCGCGCACCGCCCCACTTGATAGCGGGGGACTGGGCGCTTACATAATAGCAGGTGGTCGTCGACGAAGACACCTTGTAACCATTGATAATCCTGTACACTATTTGCTACCCCTATGACCCTTGATAACCCTGTACACTGTATCTCATCGCCTTGACCTTCGGTAACTGCATTGTTGGCCACCCCGTATCGGCTGGGTGCACTGCTGACACGGGCTTCTTGTTCTCAACCAATAAAGCGTGCACACAGCCACCGAGTACCGAATATACTCACGACTCAAAGAAGGGTAAAAACTCAGCAAGCAACAAATAAGACTCGCTTGTTCCCTGACAGGGACAATTTTTGGTGCATCGGCCGGGATTACCCATATTTTCCCGTCTCATTGGATAATCCCGATCAAACTTGGAAACAAACCACCGTTTAGAGGCAAAGCCTTTCCCTTCGGCAAAAACCTACTGGAACTAGGAAACACTACTGTTCAAATCAACAAAAACAACATGTCTTTGGCAAAATCCAAAGACTAGGAGCGAATTCGAAAAAAAGGGACAATAAACAAAGAAAAGGTTTGGAATGTCGCTGATTTTCCTTAAAAACCCAATTGTATTTAGCTCAAAAACTCTTAGGAATCTCTAGTCGACAAAATAGAAAAAGAATTCGACGGAGCGAAATTAGGGGTGACAAAAAAGACCTCACAAATGATATATTTAAAGATATCTACTCAAAATGCGAATTCACTAGAAAAAATAGCCCGTGCCAACGAAGTGATCTACGTGTTAGAGGCACGACTGAAGGAAACCAGAAATAAACTGCAGAACCTCGCTCCAAAGCTGGGAATAAAGCCGAAAAAGAGCGAAATAGCACAGCGCAATGGCGCTTGAAAGGACGACTCAGATAATGAGTACACAGAAGATCCCGAAATTGACGGAGACTTAGCCTGGCTGTCAGAAGTCATGTCCGACAATTCGGACAACGTACAATTCGACAGTGGACACTATTTGCAGCACTCTGAAACACAGCCAGCTAAAGCTGCTGAGACTTCACGTCGACGAGGAGGACTTTCCCGAATACTGGGAGTGTTCCATACATTAGTGCACGATAACAAAGTGTTAAGCACAGTTAAAAAAATACAGCTCCTGAAAGACAGCTCAAGTGGAAAGGCGGTAGTAGTCGTTGAAGGTATATAGTTGATCTCAAAAAACTACAACTGGATGGTGAAGCTTTTGAGAAAAATTATGGGATTAAACTCATAAACAGAGCAAAAATGTTACACAAAAATCAATTGACATGCGTCCAGCGGCGAACATGCGGCTACTTGCAATGTCTTCGACAAAATTAAAATGCTCATCAACCAAATGGTATCAGCACGTGAAGACGTTCGCAATGCACAAGATGCACTATGGAGAGAGAAGATTCCGAAAAATTTCCATACAGCATCGTGAAGAACGTCTTTATTGCTACCAGAGCAAGGACGATGTTAAAGTTGAAGACATAATGGAGAGCTGGAAAAAGAGAAGCGAAGAAATTCGCAGGATTGCCCAACTACACGAAGCACGACCACAGCGAAGAAAGAGCGAGATACTTCAGAGAACAGCCTTATAAGGTCCCAAAAGCGATTTTGCAAAAGTGCCAAGCACACGTCAAGTTATTGCAGAATAAATGGCGGTAGGAATAAATGGCAAGCAGATGCACAATGTCAGTATATGCTTCGTCAATGGTCCCATGTAACAAGGGAACGATTTCAATGAATCCAACAAGTGAAGCTGTGGATTTCAGTCTAGAATAACATCTCACTAGAACCAAGTTCCCTTATCCATGAAAGACAGTCATGGAATGGTAGCAATTTAGGTGATGCCCAAAATAACAGACCATTCAATAATGCCTGAGTGCGTGTGGAACTATAACATGGACCTAGGAAAGTACTGTTCTTCTTCGACACGGGAGCTCAGAAGACGCTTACAAGAGAACAAACTGCACAGTATCTCGCACTCCCTAAGCAGTCACAAGGAATGTGTGCCGTATCGGGAATGGGAGGACATACGGAGATGTTCCAGAGCAACGTGGTTACGTTCAAATTACTTACTGCGTATGGCATGGAAATTGAAATGAAAGCCCGAACAAAAAAGATAATAACGAATGGATTTTCACCGGTAAAGTTATCAAATAAGGGGAAACATTTCCTCCAACTGAACGAACTCTGGGTATGAAAACTCTTGTTGGACTGGACTATTATTATCACTTGGTACCTCCCAATAGTAAACTACTACAATTGCCATCCGACTGCACATCGCCAATACAATTTTCGGCCCCAGCATTCATGGTCGTGATATTACACCTACGCAAATAAACAGCAGCTGCATCAACGAACACTGCAGCCCCTTTAACAAGTGACCCAAAAAGTCAACAGCTCATGCAACAACTGCAGCTACGCCATCAGCGAGCCTACAGAAGCAGAAATACTCAACAAACTGTTCGTGTTGCATGTTCTGGGAATCAATCCAGACGAGTTGATAACAGAAGAGACCAACGTTTTGAAATTATTCAAAAAAAATACAAATCAACAATGGAGCTGTCCCAGCACCACTACCACTGAGAGAGAATGTGACCGATCTCTCAATTAACTATGCTGTTGCTTTCCGTAGAGATATCTCACTGTGGGAACACTTGCATACCAACAAAGAAGAGCAAAAATGGTAGACAAAAACAATTGAAGAGTACATCTCCACAAACATGGTAAAATACGATAAAGTGATAAAATAAATACGAACAGCGTTGACTGTCACTAGATGCCACACTCAGGAGTATGGCGCCCTGCAAAAGCAAAGCCACCCCGAACACTTGCAAAAATGCGGGCTTCTGTCTTCGAACGACGTTATCCATACTGGAGAAATGTTTGTGAACAAGATTCACGACATTCTTGTTGCCAGCAGAAGCGATAAAATAATATTGCAGTACGATATTCAAGCAGCATTCACACAAATAAGACTGCAAGAAGAACATGACAACCCCCGCAGATTTCTATGGTTCAAGAATGCAAATAATTTGCCAACACGTGACAACATTATGAAGTACCGAATCACTCGATTATCTTCCTCTCTAACGGCATTCCAAGCATTCTTAACATGGATATCTTGGCCCATCTCAACCAAAAAAATACGGATAGTGCTCATGAGATCACGGATTATTTATACGTAGGCAACATTATTCTTTGAGCAAACACGGTCGAAGAAGCTCTCCAAGAATACAAGGTGAGGTCACTGAAGTGGTGAGGTTGCTCGTCCAAAATCTGTGCTATTTGCAACGCGGATGCCTCTGAACTGCTGGGGTGCACGGCTTGATTTCAAACCTAGTTAGTACAACAGAATATTAACAATTGGTCTTTCTTCTCCTGTGTATTGTGCCGTCGGGTATTGTTTGGTCGGATATTGTTTCGGACATTATGTTGTAGGATATTGAGTCGTCGATTGGAACCAGGTATTGTATATTACGGATACTACATTGTGGTATTGCGGACCACCGAGGCTTAGAATGACCCGACTGAGGAGCCCTCCGGCTATTTATACCCCTCGGCTGAACCAAAGATCAAAGTTCAAACCACACGCAGTTATTGACCGCTACATGTTGGTGGTGCCAAAAGTGCGCGCCGAGAGAATCCGCTCCTTGGTGGTCGGTCACACACCTCGACGAATGAGTGTTAGGGTGGTTATTGCCGCTTCGGCATCAACGCAACAAGTGTTGTGAGTATGGTAGCAGTTGGTACACTCCCGGAGGCAGTAGCGATCATGAAACTTCAGACAGTGCTTGTCTCACGTTTTGGAGGACATCTCTTACCCTCCCTCTGGAATTTGGCACCGTGCACAATGCACTATGATGTCCGTTGTCTTCGGGGATGAGGAAATCGAAATTAGTGTCTCGAACTATTGAGCAGTACCAACAGTCCATTTCATTTTCTACGCAGTTCTTCTGGTCTTCCCACCATGCCAAGCAGTAGAAACAAGAAATGTCGTATGTAAAAGAACAAGAAACAGAAATATCGTACTATGATGATGCGACGTCTTTGTTGTCCTTCACGGACTCCGGGACAGGAGTCAGATAAATGTGCTTCTTTCATCTGACAGAACGCGCATGTTACACAGGACTTGACTTGCTATGGTCTATAGGCAATATTTCTATTCGGAAACAGTCGTAGTCCTCTCTGAAGTTCTTCCAGTCCCCCTCCTATCTCTCTGAGAAGGCGCTCCCTGGAGCAATCCTCAATACTCTGGTGGTGGCTGCCATCCTTGTCGTAATGCGTGTGTCGAGTGTCAGTCCTCGTTGCGCTTTTCCGGTCCCGGTTCGAAGAGACGCTTGATCGTAAGGAGCCGACTGAGGATGTGCCTCTGCGTTGGTATCAGTGGTCTCCGATATCAGTCTGAGTATGTACTCGTCACCCGTTGTTTTCCCGATTTTCCGTCCTTTGTGGAGATTGTCCATGATCGTCTCGTCATCTTCTGTTGCTTGAACCTCCGTGATGTTCTTGCCCTGAGGATAATTATTATTTTGGTCTGGAATAATCTTTAATAGATGATCCAGTCCATATTCGACTTTTAGGGCAAGCCGGGCGACATAATGAATGTATCTGTAGCTGTCAACGTGTTCTTATCCTCTCCCATCTTTTCACTATCCTCCTTTTCCTGCTACGCCTTCTCCTTCTGACCTGCCATGCCGAGTGTGGAGCACCATGATTTGAAAAGTAATAAGTGTTGTTAAAGGAGTAAAATATTGTCTTTTGTGGAATTCGCCATCCTGAGGAAGCAGCTAGCGACTAGAATGAGCTTTTCCGGGCGGCTATCGGAGCAAGTGGGGTTTATGAAATGACTCGAACAAGACAGTTCTGACTCCTCTTCCTGTTCGACTTGTTCTTGCAGTTCCTGCTACGTCAGCGATATCTCTGATTTCAGATCTGATGACAATGGGCCAAAAATCGGCCGTGAAGCGAAACTCCTTAAAATAGAGTCCTTCCTCTGGTTTTGGTCTGGGGAACCTAAAAGGTGTTATTGAATTAGGACAACAAATGTGTAAGGAGATATACATTGAGCTCAATTGTGAACGAAATCTGAGTTATAGTTATTCGTAATGTTTATTGAGTATTGTTCTAACTTACTGTGAGTATCACGCCGAAAAGTCGTTGTGACTTTTTAACGGCTTTGGGTTTGAAATGATATTAAGATCGAGGCGGTTGCTTTTGAAATTGCAAGTGAGATCCACCTCAAGATTCGTAGTGTGAATGTCAAACGGAACCTGTACGTCAGACACATGAGATACGTTTCCGCTTTCACTTTCAGTACAATCAAATGGCTCCCTATTGCTGAAATTGTACCGTGGCATCGTATGTGACAGACTATCGTCCGGGAAAGAATCAGTGATAGAACTGACGTTTTGCCCTGTGATATTCTCTTTCCGCGGACTGCTTCGTGAGTTTAGGAGAATCATCGTTCCACTCGATCCGAATTATTAGATTGATTGGCCTGTGAATAAATCGCCGAGAAGGTAGTCAGATGACGACTTTACGTACTGTTCCTCGAGCACTGGCTATAACTTTATGAGTTACGCCCATTTTCCAAGAATGACAAAGTAGTACGGGGTCAATTGTTGAAACAATTGTCCCCTTCGGATATTAAGAGCATCCCTCCTTTTTTCCGACGTCGAGGGTATACTTCTCTCTGTGTGCTACGAGGTATTCTGTTTGCCACGCTCTCCAAAATTTTTCTGCAAGTTGGCAGGACGATTCCAAAGCTTTGATCGCTTGCTGTTTAGTTTGAGTCACAGCCAACTCAGTTGGTGGCAAATATTGTGGGCTTGCCCCTTCTTCCGCATTCTGACCGACTGGATAATAGACTAGGATATCTTTGTGAATAGAGTCTATTGGTCTCAATATTTTTCGTCCTTATGTGGTTCTGCAGTGACATTTGTAAGAGCACGTGTGTTGAGGAGTGCTTCAATCTCGATCAGAATTGCTGATAATTTTTCCAAAGGAGGATAGAACGCTCTATTGTTTTGAAGATGCTGAGCTTGATTGGTTTAATTAACCTCTCGTAGAAGCCTCCTTGCCATAAGGCAAATGGAGTGTTGCAATGCCATTCGATTTCTTTGTTGCTTAAACTCTTTCAGCACAGTTGGATCATTCTTAGCAGCGTGATGACACTCCTTTAAAACAGTTCCCCCAGTTCAAATGCTAGGGCTTTGTCGCTTGTGATAGAGTGGGGAATCCCTCCGCGTGCGAAGAAGTGACGAAACATGTTGAGGAACGCTCTAGTAGTCATGCCCGAAACCACGTCCAGGTGAATAAGTCGGGTGGTCATAAGAGTGATTATTGCATCGCAACATTTTTCTAAGCTTCTGTTCCTGAGCGTGTTGAGAGGGTTCAAAATAGTCAGGGGATATATGTTGGAATGGATATGAGCAGACAACTCGCTGTTCACGTGAGTTTTCTTTTTTTGGATACCTATAAAGCAGATTGTTTAATTTCAGACATTAAAAGCATTTTCGCATTAGGGTGCAGACTTGCAAGCGCAACTAGGGCATCCAAAACTCTTGTCGAGCCATGGCCATTGTATGGTTGACACCGGGATGACCTTACTGACGCTCCTCTCCTATGATATCCGCGAGCAGAGTTTTCTGATGGACAAAGTTAGGATCCGTGGTATTGTGGTGCAAGTGTGCATTTCCAAACCGTCCATAACAACGGTAATAAATGAATAATATGTTCATCTTGATGGATATTGAGCTGTTGCAACAAATAATCAGTTGCTGGGTGACATGCATTGTTCGATGGTGTCGAATCAGCTCTAGACCCGCTAATCGAATTTCAGAGGCTGTTAAATGCGCTAGTTGTGCTGAATAATCTTGATTTTTTTACAATGAAAAGAGTTGGGTGCCGACAACTTTGCGGGTTGGTGTGTCTGATAAGAGCGCTGGTGAATAAAGAGCGTATGCCAAAATTCTTTCAGTTAGTGTCAGCGTCTTTGAGCCGCACCGGTAAGTTCGGCATTGTCCTCACTCTTACGAGGAGGGTATTTCGGGGCGCGGGACGCTTTTTGAAAACGGTTTCTTGCATGGTATAGGGGCATGAGCACTGAGTATAGATCTATGGTCCATTTCCGCTAAATGGCCTTCTTAATATCAAAAAAGAACTAAAAACGGTTTTGTCAGAAATTGCCTGTTTAACCCAATAACCGTCGTTTGTTTCATTCATGGCGTCGACTGCTCCACACAGTAGAAGGCGCCAGTGGACTACGCAATGAAAATAATGTGAACGGTAGCCAAAAAAGGGGGCCACATGTTGCAACATGTTGAAAAGTGCGGGGAAGTTTCATACGTTCTCTCCACGATTGAGATGCCGGCAGCGACGGATGGTTTGGTGGGTAGCGATATGGAATTCGAGGACGGACGACTTGGATGGGTTGATGGTTCGGATTACCGAGGCTTTGCCGTTTTTGCATTTTATGCTGCCACCTCCAGATTGGCTCCATATTGCACCGTGGCCAAAGCAAGTGCCTGAACGGTCATGGTCGTAAAAAGGACCAGCGATAACCTCTACAAATCGTTAGAATTTGATGTGTGCCGCACGATCAGTAGCTCACACTTCCATGAGTATAAAGGGGTCTCTTCATTTCACACTAATATAAGTGTTGTAATGGGAGTCGAAACCCTATAATATGATTCCTGTTCGATAGAACCTGTTCTCGACCTCGTTCGTCAATGCAAAGACAACAGGATTCCCGATTCCTACCTTCCTCTGGGCGTCCACCGCGGGCTCCTGTGGGAAAACGAATCAGACTTTTTTCAACTCGCCTTCTTGCTGAAGCATCCATGAGCATTAGGCTTGATATAAAAAGATGTCAGCCCTGAAGGAATTCATTCTAGTGCCGGATTACTATTAGGTCGTGAAGAAAGTTCTCGCGGTTTTTGACGCCCAATTTTCAAATGCTCGCCGCGATGTTATTTTCTATTAGAGTTTTTGCAAGTTTTATACCATTCTGAAGCGCATTTCTTGGCCTATCCAAATATATAATCGGTTTTTCCCTGGAATGATTCCTGGGGTTTATTAGAAGGTCGAAATCAGCATGGACAAACGACAGATCCGCATGATTTTTCTTTTCCAATCCAAATTGGGCAGGAGTGCGACGGAAACGGACCGGGATATCAACGATGACTTAGATCTAGGTACGATGAATCAACGCACAGCACAGTGGTGGTTTGAAAAATTTCGTACCGGTGATGAGAGCCTGGAAGATGATGAGCGCAGTGGGCGGCCATCGGCCGTTGGCAACGAACAATTGAGAGCGTTAGTGGAAGAGAATCCACGTACAACGCTGAAGGATATTGGCTCAAGATTGAGTGTTTCCAGCAGGACGGTTGGCATCTACATGCAGGAGATCGGGAAGTAGAAGAAGCTCGATAAGTGGGTGCCGCATGAGTTGACACCAGAAAGACCGCCGCTACGAGCTCGCCTCCGCCTTGCTTCTGCGCAACAGGAACAATCCATTTCTAGACCGTATTGTGACGTGTGATGGGAAAAGGATTNAAGGATCAAGCCCCACGACATTATCCCAAGCCGAAGCAGCATGGAAAGAAGGTCATGGTGCTGTTTGGTGGTCTGCAGTCGAGCTGATCCACCACAGCTTCATGGATCCGGGAGAAACCGTAACAGCCGAAAAGTTCTGCCAAGAAATTGACGAAATGCATCGAAAACTCCAGCTCATGAGCCCGGTACTGGTGAACAGGAGGGGGCCAATTCTACTCTACGACAACGCTCGGCCTCACGTCGCACAACTTACCCTGAGAAAATTGATGGAGCTAGGCTATGAAGCTCTCACGCATCCACCATATTCCCCAGACCTTGCTCCCATAGACTACCATTTCTTTAAACATCTCGACGCTTTCTCAAGGAGCAATGCTTCAAAACCCAACATGATGCTGCCGCGGCATTCGACGATTTCATCGCCTCTAGATTTCCGGACTTCTATGCGAATGGGATACTCGAACTTGTTTTCCGTTAACAAAAGTGTGTCGATAGTAATGGTTGTTATTTCGATTGATGAAGTTTCGTTCAAGCCGAGATATATGCATTTGAAGTTTGAGGCGCAAAACCGCAAGAACTTTCTTCACGACCTAATAGATTAATGACTAGATGGAGGGTTTGGGCGATACTCGTTCCCAACCTACGATCACCTAACTCCGCGTCCTGTTATGAAGGGCTGGTAGGACGCGGATCAAGAAGGACAATACTTACTGAAGTCGAGGTGACTGCAGAAGATGAGTGACTGGTCGTGAGGAGAGAAGGAAATGGAGATGACCAACTAGAACAGAGGACAGAACCCTTCAAGGCGCGAAATCAACGCCAGGGCGAAAAACGGTGAAATCATCGAAATTAGATGCGCCTCTCATCATTTTTGAAGGAATTCGGTCGAAGTTAAACAACAATTAAACCA